ATGTCCTAGCTGTGCAGACTTTTACAAATTTTTAATGAAAAAATATGTATGAAAGTTGATGTCATCCAAACATCTCCACCCACCGGTGAGTCTTAAAAATACAACCGATGAAAATAATATCAAGGCATGACGTCACTAGATTTCTTTTAATCAAATTTTTATTTCTTTTGCATGTTAAAATGGAGAAGGAACTAAGGTTTGAGGAAATAAAAGAGAAAAAATTAAGATGAAAGTGAAACCTCAGAGTTATTGATATATTTCTTCTTAAAGAGCCATGGTATTATCAAAGCAATGACCTCATTTCGAATTATTCCTGAGGCATAATCATTCTCATTTTACAAGTAGGGAAAATGAAACACAAAGATTACATCACCCATCAAAAGTTCCAAAGTGGGTTGGTGGCATTAAGGGCTCATTGATGCAACAGTTTTGGATGACAATATGGCGATCACTGTCTAAACTTAATATACACATGTCCTTTGAACCAGCAATTTCATTCCTATGACTTTATCCTATAAAAATATTTCTTTAAGTAAGCAAGAATAAATCTACAAAAATGCCCTTGGAAGTATTGTTCATAATACAAACTGAATATCCATTTATAGGGATTGGCTTAAAAAAAAAAAGTATGGTACAGATTTATCATTTTCATGGACCCACAAAAAATGAGAGTGATCTATATATATTGGCATGTGTGATATTGTGATTTATATTAAGAAATGTGTATTTGTCTTCGTCTGCATTTCTGGCATAGAGCTCCTAAAAACCCTTGGAATTTCCCAAGTGAGGAGGACAGCCGAAGGTGTCTTTTGTTATGTTTATAAGTGACTTTTGGACCCACCCAAGGATGGCTGGTTGCCAGGAAAACCAACCAAGTGATTAGAGGGTTAGAAACTTTCAGTCCCACCCCACTGACTTCCAGGGAGGGAAAAGACACTGGAGGTTGAATCAATCACCAATGGCCAATGATTTAATCAAACGTGCCTATTCAGCGAAGCCTCCATAAAAACCCAAAGGACAGGGTTCAGAGACTTCCAGATGGGGATGCCAGAACAATTCAGACCATGGGCCACCATGGCAAGCCCCAAACTCCGTGAGGACAGAAGCTCCTTTGTTTGGGATCTCTCTCTCTCTCTCTCTCACTTTTATCTCTCCATCTGGCTGCTGATTCGTATCTTTTAATATATCCTCTGTAATAAACCAGTAATCTAGTGAGTAAACTAGTTTCCTGAGTTCTGCAAGTTGCCCCAGGAAATTAATTGAACCCAACGAGGGGGTTGTGGGAAGCTCCAAACTGCGCCTTCCAGTCAGAAGCACAGGTAACAGGGCGCCTGGGTGGCTCGGTCATTGGGTGTCTTGCTTTCAGCTCGGGTCATGATCACAGAGTCCTGGGATCGAGCCCCACGTTGGGCTCCCTGCTCAGCAGGAAGCCTGCTTCTCCCCTCCCACTCCCCCTGTTGTGTTCCCTCTCTCGCTGTCTCTCTCTCTGTCAAATAAAATAAATAATAATAAAAATCTTAAAAAAAAAAAAAAGCACGGGTAACAACCTGGACTTAGGATTGCCTCAAGTGGGGGCGGTTCTGCATCACAGAGCCCTTAACCTGTGGGGTCTGATGCTATCTCTGGGTCGATGTGTGCCAGAGTTGAGTTGAATTCTCCAGCTCAGCTGGTGTTGGAGAATTGCTTCTCAGTGGTGTAGAACCACCCCCCATGTTGGAATTGGTATTAGAACTTTTGGCATGAAAAGATGTCAATGATGCGTTGCCAAGTGAAGGAATACGGGGTATATAATACAGTTCTGTGTATATAAATATATATGCATATATATTTATATATAGATAGATGAAGAAACCCGATGGGTAGACCCACTCAGTAGTAACTGCCTCTGGAAAATAAGTCACCGATTATTTTAACATGTACCATTGTTATGTGATAGATGATGTTTGTTAGTGACAGCGGGCTATAGCTAATGCCAGAATCCACCTCCTGAGCCACAGGCTAGTGTTCTCTGCCCCTGGCTATCCTCTTCGGTGGTGAAGCCCTTCCCTGCTGCTCATCTATAGACGAGCAGGGTATTTGGAAGGAGGGAGAAAAGAACATCCTCATCCTTACCCACTTAGCTCTGGCTTTCTGCTCTAATGGAAATGTCTCCCAGAAACATGTTTATAGATCCTGCAGCCCTGGGACTAGGGACTCAGCCTCCCCTATCTCCAAACCTCCCCTATCCAATGGCCTGTGGCTATTTCAGTGTTAGTGTGCAGGGTGGCAGGCTGGCCAGATGCTGCCCACCGTCCAGCCTGGGGATCCTGGTACCCTGCTGGGAAGCTCTGCACTGGGCCAACATGTGCTTTTGGGCACATAGGTTCAAATAATTGGACAACATGGCACGAGATGGCCTTGGGTTCCCTGGCATCAGGCAGATCTGGGTTCAAGTCCCTGGTCTTGCCCTACTGGCTGTGACCTTGTGTGAGTCATAGTCTCCTGGCCCTGGTTTCCTCACCTGTACAACGGGGATAATGTCCTTTCTCTGAGAAAGGAGGTGTGAGGAGTACATGGAAACATCAAGTGCTTAGTACAGTGGCTGGCACATGGTATGTGCCCAATAAGCTACAGCTACTTCTTAGTTTCAGACCTCCTTCTCTGCTCTAAGAACTAAGTTCCAGGGGTATCCTAAGGTCATAAGCATGTGGTGTGGCCAAGATGAGGTACTTATTTTAAGACTATCCTTAAAACCCAATCCTAACAGTTAAGATTTGTCATTACAATCTAAACTTAAAATACTAGATTTATTTATTTAAAAAAAAATACTAAATTTAAAGTCAGAAAAAGAAATTTCTCTGGTTTCTACCCTGACCCTCACCCTAGGCTTTGTCTTTTCCCAGTGTCCTCTTAACGAAAGAAAAAATCTCAGTTCAGGAGTAAGTGTGCTTCCAAGAAAATTTTTCATCTTGGAAGACACAAACAATACAATGATCCCATTTTTTTCATTGTTGTGGCTTCTAGGAAGCTCAGAGCCACATTTCTGTTTATTATAGGAACATTTTTGAGGTTATTAGTCACATTGCATAATGTATTAGGGAAGGGCCCAGTTGTTTCCTGAACAACTAGCTTGTCTTTTTTCTTATAGTCACTGTGAATTATGTAACAGATCCTATTTCCCTGTTTTGTTTCTAAAAAATCTTTAGCAAGTATAGGACTTGGAGTATTTTGCTTACTACATTTTGTGGCTTAACTTTTTCTTGACTTTTAATTTTTCCCCAACCCAATTACCACATTTATCTAAAAATGTTATATTATACAAGTTTCTGTAAGATACTGCGAAGCACTCGTGGAATGAGGTAGGGAATAAACAGGTAAGCAAACAAAAGTAAATAATTGATTTCCTTTGACAGGTCAGCCTCCTCCATCCCTTTCTTTAAAATATCAGTAAGAAGTGATAAAGTCATTTAAAGAGTATTTACACATATAAAGAATACACACACACAAATGTAACCCTATGTTATAGGAACAATTTCTATGGCTTTTTTCTTCCTACTCATACTAGATTTCAAAATAAAATATGGCCATTCAATTACAAGGCACATTTGAAAACAATTACTGAGTATATGAAGCTAAAAATAGGCTATTAATCGAGAAGGGATTTTTGACCACATCTCAAAAATGACTTAGGCATTTTGTTTGGAATTACATTGGCTGCAATTCTTGTCACACACATTTTAAAATAATTCCGGCAACTGTCCCGATGGAGAGAGACTCGAGGATAACTTCACACCATTTCTGTCCTAGAAGAAAATCCTGTTTGGGAGGGCCTCTGACTCAGTGTAATGTGAGATGAGCTATATATGACCACGACTCTACCCTGACAGCTGACACTATTCTCCCTCAGACCTCCTGTCTGCACCAAGGTTGCTCCAAGAAATGAACTTGGCAAAATTTATTCATACTATAAATACCAGAACACAATATGGATAAAATGGCATCCAGTCAAAAAACATATTACGTTCGTTTGTTGGATTTGTACACAGATCAGTTTGTGGGTTTTTTAGATAAAGTTGAAAAACCATTTTTATTTGCAATCATTCCATTTTTTTCTTTTTTGCAAGTCTAAAGGAGAACTAGCATGTGTTTAACATCAATTGCTTCATCAGAGGTCTTTGGGGTCTAATTACAGTGTCACCTTGGCTGGGGGGGGTTATTTTCTAAACCTTCACATTACCCAAATTCATAAGGTTTAAAACAGGAAGTAACTCAGTAGTGCCCGAGTGTAAGAAAATGATTAAGCTCAGCAACACAGGAAGGGAACAATTTCCCGTGCTGGGCAGGTTGTAACCTCTTCCTAGCAATTCAGCCCCTACTTAGGGGCTCCAGTTAACACAAACAGCAAGAACCCAAGGCTTAGGTCATAAGAAATAGGATAAGCAGTGTGTCATGTTCAGGAGGACTCTTGAGAGGTTGGGTCTGACAGTAGAACTCAAGGGAGCATCTTCTCTCTCCGTGTCTCTCCCCGGTGTGTGTTAGAACGCTGGACAGTAAAAGGGAACACCTGGGCCCTTTCTCTGGCTGTGTGGCCTTGGGCAAATCCCTCGACCTCCTTGGGCCTCTACTAACTCATCTGTAAAATGAAGCCCAGAGCTCCATCCACCATACATGTGTAGACTGCATGCTCTGTGCCAGGCCCTGTGCTAGGCTGGGGGACATCACGATAAATAAGACAAACACAGTCCCCTCATGGAACCCCATGGAACTTAGAGTCTAGTGGAGGAGAGCAACAAGGTTGTTTAAGAGCACACAGATATTTTAATAATACTAATCACGACAATAACCAGCATTTGTGGGAACAATGTGTCAGGACTTGTTCTAAAGATCATCTCTTGTAAGCTTTTAACAACCACCATAGGAGACAGGTACTATCATTAGTCCCGTTTTGTACATGGGACAACTGAGGCTTAATGAAGTTAACTAGATCAGGGCTGCACACATTCCAAAACCCAGTCCTTTACCCACTGCACTGTACCGACTTCTTCTTGGCTGACCACGGTTCCAGGACAGTGTTTAGCACTGGCTTTTTTACCTGAAGGCCATTTCAGACAGTCTTATTGTAAGTGGGAAATTTATCCATGAATTCCCACTGGGGCATTTCCTGAACCCCATCTTGTTTGGAAATGACGGCTCCTCCTGGAGCCCTGCAAAGGCTGCAGGGGACGAGCAGCAGGTGGCCCAGATGGGAATGCTTTCAGTGCCCCCCGCCCCATAGCTGGATGACACTCACTAAATCCCTGCTGCTCACCCTGCTGCACAGCAAGCCAAATCAATCTGTCAACCGACAGCAAATCAACTCAAAAGAATAAGAAACAACAGAAATAAATAGGCACGCTGCACTTTCCCTGACCTTTAAACTGATTACAGCCTTGATTGTCTTCCAATTTTGAAGTGAAATGAAACGGCAGTTGTGCATGGAAGAGAGGCCTGAGCTGAGCCTGCCCGCAACAGCTCAAGGGCTAGCAAGGGTTAAACCATAACAAGGCTTTCACACCGCCAGTTTGATGAGCTCTTACTCCGCACCCGGCACTGTCTGTATGCAGGCTCATTTAAGCCTCAGGACTGGACCCGCTCATCCATTTATTTATTCACTCACTTGATCATTCAACCAATATTTATTTGGTGCTCACTTTGTGCCAGGCACTGTCCTAGGACAGGTCTTTGTCCTCAGGAAACTTTTATTTTAATAAGGAAGACACATAACTGCCAATAAACAAATAACAGATGGACCTCTCTTGCCGGGGGCTCAGGGCATGCAGGCTTAGAGGATGCCACATTTTACTTATTTACTTTTATTTTTTTTATGAATTGCTCTATTTCATATTTTATCTTATCTTATCTTATTTATTTTATTTTTTGGAGGACTCCACATTTTAAAGCGAGCACAAAGCAACTGCAGACCCGGCACCTCCTTAGGGTATCAACTCTGGCTGACCAGTAGAACCTGGAAACTTAATGTTAACACAGACGCCCGGGGCTCATCCCCAAACCATCAGGTCAGAACCTGTGGAGGTGAGGCACTGGTATTTTTTGACTTCTAATTTTGAAATACTTTGGACTTTACAGAAAAGCTGCAATAATCATCCACAGAACCCCCCAAGTTCACCAGTAGTTTATACTGTGCCTTACTTAACCGTTTTCTCTCTGCATATGCATATATACACGTGTGTTACATTCTTTTTTTCTGCATCATTTGAGGTTAAGCTACATATCATATCCATTGATCCCTAAAACCTTCAGCATGTATCTTAAGAATAAGGTGGTTTCTCTTTTTTTTAAGATTTTGTTTCTGGGGCGCCTGGGTGGCTCAGTCAGTTAAGTGTCTGCCTTTGGTTCAGGTTATGATCTCAGGATCCTGGGATCGAGCCCTGCGTCGGGCTCCCTGCTTAGTGGGGAGCTTGCTTCTTCCTTTCCCTCTGCAGCTCCCCCTGCTTGTGCTCTCTCTCTCCCTCTCTCAAATAAATAAATAAAATCTTCTAAAAAATGAGGAAATTTGATAGTGCTATGTAGTTATTTATATAAAGCCTATATTCAAAGTTTGCTAATTGTCTCAATGTCTTTCATAGAAATTTTTCTCCATCCAGGATCCAGTCTAAGATCATGTGTTGTGTTTAGCTGTCATGTCCTCTTGGTTCTCCTTTAATCTTGGTCTTTCTTGACATTGGCATTTTTTAAGAGTCCAAATCAGTTACTTTGGTGCGTGTCCTTCAATTTGGGTTTGTCCAATGTTTCCCCATGATTAGATTCAAGTTATGCATTTTGACAGGAATAGTGCATAAGCATATGTGATGAGCGTCCTTCTTAGTATATCATACCAGAGGGCACATTATGTCAGCTTGTTCCAATATTGGTGATTTAATTTTGAACTGAAGGTGGGTCTGCCAGGTTTTTCTAATACAGAGTTAGTATTTTTCCGTTTGTTTAATGACTACTTTGTAGAGGGATATTTTGAGCCTCTAAATATCATATTCCTCATCAAACTTCCACTCAATGGTTTTAGCAAGTACTGATGATTCTTGCCTGAGTTAATTATTTACTAATATGGTTACAAGATGGTGACTTTTTAATTTCATTCTACTTTCTAAATGTATTAGTTGGCATTCCAATGTAAGGAAAACTACCTCTTCTCCCTCACTTATTTTCAATGAGTTATAATTCATTGCTGTCATTGTTAATTTTTTTAAAAGATTTATTTGTTTATTTGAGAGCGAGTACACGAGCAAGGGGAGGGGCAGAGGGAGAGAGGGAGAGGGGAAACACACTCCCTGCTGAGCGGGGAGCCCCACGACACTGGGGCTCCATCTCATGACCCTGAGATCATGACCTGAGCCAAAACCAAGAGTTGGATGCTTAACCGACTGAGCCATCCAGGAGCCCCACCGTCACTGTTAATTTTGACACTTAAATTGTCCCAGATATGCTCACTAAAACTCCTGTCAAGCTAGAGCCTGTATTCTTTTCCCATGTCCCCATCTTTATTTTCCGGCATAAGATGTTCTAGGCTTATCTTCTACTTTCCTTGCCCCAGCCCTGGAATCAGCCATTTCTCTAAGAAACTAATTCTGTTTAGAATGAGGGGTACTTAGAAACCAAGATCTGGGTACTAAGAGTGCTCGTTGCTTCTAGGATTTTCTGTCAATGGCACTGGTATCTTTAGAAAGCTCCCAAGATGATTCAAATGTGCAGCCAGTATTGAGAACCACTGTCTATGAAGAAGGGGCCCAATCATTACCTAAGTCGATGGCTCTGGGAAGGAAAGAGGGAGAAGAAATTATAGGATCTATGCAGTAGTGGACCAAAGTAGTATTTTTCAAAGCATGAGTAAAGACACATTGAAGGATAAAGGCCATGAAATTGATTTACTGGGTCATGTCCAGCATTAAAGAAAATCAAAAACAAAACCTCAACAGGAGAATGTATACTAGATTCTAATATGAATTACAATAAATTTATTATAATAAATTTCTTACTGGGTCACAGCCCAAAAAGATTGAGAATTACTGGCCTAAAGAAGAGTACTGTGCTTTTCTCTCCTCTCTTAGACAAGAATGGGTGCTTCCCCCAACTCAAGTCCTAAGGCAAGGGAGGGAAAATCCAAGAGAACAACTTAAAAAGATTGAAGGTGTCTCATTATTTGGTCGAACAACTGCTTTGAGGGTAGATTTACATCCAGATCATTGCTCTATGCCTATCTGAGGAGGGTCAATGTAATCTGGGTAGACACAGTGGGGCAGAGAGAAGGAGGGCCATGGAGAAGTCTGCATGTCCACCACTGGTTTCCTGCGGGTCAGGCAGACACTGGGAGATCACTTAAACTATCTTCGTAACACCCTGACCAAGAGGGCTGGCCACTGGGTAAGGAGACCCCGGGAGCAAAAGGCTAGGCAGAGGCGGGATCTGAAGTGGTGGTGGCAGAGGTAGAGACGGAGCCAGATCCCCACAGGGGTGTTTTGCCACCTACTGTTCCCCCCCCCCGCCGGGAAGAATCATATGAAATACAGGGGTCAGAGAGTCAACGTGGAGACGCCTGCCCACGGGACATGAGTGGTAGCCTTAGCCAGGACGCAATAGCAGCCAAGGGAGGGTCACAGCAGACAGTGAAGAGATGGATGCCCCCCGTATCTCCCTCCTTCCCACCCGTCCCACTGGAGCAGAAAGGGACCCGGGGGAGGCCAGTGTAGAAGTGTGAGGGATCTAACCCTTCTTTCCCCACTCCCATCCCCACCGACGGAGGGCAGGGGGGTTTGGGTGAGCACTAAACTGGATCCGAGATTGAAATTTTAAACTAGACTGGGCTTGGGCGCCTGGTTGGCTCAGTTGGTTAAGCGACTGCCTTCGGCTCAGGTCATGATCCTGGAGTCCCGGGATCGAGTCCCGCGTCGGGCTCCCTGCTCGGCAGGGAGTCTGCTTCTCCCTCCGACCCTCTTCCCTCTCGTGCTCTCTATCTCGCATTCTCTTTCTCTCTCAAATAAATAAATAAAATCTTTAAAAGTAAGTAAATCAATCAATAAATAAATAAACTAGACTGGGCTTTCTGAAATTAGAACATACTGAAAAGACACAGAATCCACCCCATATGCCGTGAAGGGATTGGAAAGAGAGGTTCGAGAAGACACGGTGGAAGACAGTTTCTGGGGAGAAGAGGAAGCTTTTGTTTAGAGCCAGCCATGCTGGGACTGTTCAGTAGACTGGTTCCTGGGCCCTGGGGAAGACCCCTTGAGGAGGTAATGCCCCAGGACGGGAAGATGAGAAGTAGTTGGGGATGGGTGATTTGACAGAAAAAAAAAAATAGAAAGTACAGAGTCCCCTGGTGAGGGAGGCACTGGCATATGACAAGAACAGAAAAGTCTGGAAGGGCTGCAGCCTAGTGATGGGGGACAGGTCAGGGCAGGATGGGGAGGCAAGAGGACTCAAGGTACAGATGGCCTGTAGCCTGCTGAGGTGAGGAGGATTATTTTTTCATAAATTGCAAAGTATCATGAACTTATTTAAAAGATTCCAACAGTGCACCTCTTCCTCCCTTGTCCAAATCCTAAAGGTGACTATCATTACTGTATTCTTCCAGGCTGTTTAGACATCTCCATGTTTCCATGTATATACTTTTAATATGGCTGAAAATTTATGTTTCTGTGATTCTTTCCCCTTGATAATATATCACGAATCTCCTTCCACGTTGTTGGTTGAATAAATGATGCTAAATCCATACCATGCAATTGTTAAACTTCATGATACTACTCTCTAGTTGTGACCAGAATGATGTTCTGAGTATGTTCAGGGACAAGGTAGATTATGTGACAGAATGTAACAATGTAGAATCCAACCTTTAATAAAATATGTGTGGATATTTATTTGTACCTGTTTGCACTGGAAAAAGTATAGCAGGATATACACCCAAATATTAACAGTGGTGGGATTTCTGTTTTTTCCCCTTTTTTGGCTGTTGTTTTTCTAATTTTCCTATTGTAAATATGTAGTAACTTAAAAGTTTTATAATAAAATATGTGGAAAGCAAATAGGACAAAATGGTGACACCTGCATATGACAGGTGACAGGTGCTTGTTATTCTTTGTACCTCAGTGTGTGTGTGTGTGCACATGTTTAATTTCTCACAAAAGGGGAGAGAACAAGCATAATGCATCATTTCAGTTCAGACATACAATCAACAACTTAAAAAAGATAACCACCCATCACACTGATAGACACCGTGCTTCCAAAATGAGGGGTTATCCTTGATGTCTTATAGCTTAAACAAAAAGACCTACAGACACAGGATGACACTGAGTTTGTCCCTGAGTGAGGCAAATGGCATGTAAATTATCACATCACCTCTGTCATTCCAGAGCAGAATCTTAATATGCAGCCACTCCCCCCCCGCAAACTGAGTTCCCTGCAGACTCAAGAACCCGACAAGAACTCAGAGGGCTTCCTTCTTGAGCCTGGGCTAAGATGCAGGCTTTTCCTAAATAAACTAAGGGCTGTGAATCAAACAACTGACCTTTCTGTTCTTGTTTGGCCCAGAAAATCTTGACTCGCTCGCGAATGTGCTTGTCTTCACGCAGTTTCTTCTGCCACTGACGCAACTCTTGAATCTCAGGATCACACCGAACCTGGAAAACGCCCACAAAGCTTTAGTTCCTTTTCAAAAAATACCTCTATGCATGAGCTTGTTAACTTTGCATGGAAAATCATTTACAAACTAATTGGATATGCTTTGGATTCTAAGCGAATCAGTGTTCTAAATGATTTATCTAAACTCCTACAGCTTATGTAATATTTGAGTGTAAATGAGGTTGTGTGAGGATTTGCTATAATAATGGTAGGTTAAGAACATTCTAGATCTGTGCTGTCCAACAGAAACATGATGTGGCCACCTGTGAAATTTTAAATTTCCTTGCAGTTTCATTTTAAAAAGGAAAAAAGAGCTGGTGAGATTTTTTTTTTAAAAGATTTTATTTATTTATTTGACAGAGAGAGAGATACAGCGAGAGAGGGAGCACAAGCAGGGGGAGTGGAAGAGGGAGAAGCAGGCTTTCTGCTGAGCAGGGAGCCTGATGCAGGGCTCGATCCCAGGACCCTGGGATCGGGACCTGAGCTGAAGGCAGACGGTTAACGACTGAGCCACCCAGGTAACCCCGGTGAGATTATTTTTAAGAATATATTTTATTTAACCTCAAAGATTCAAAATATTATTTCAACATGTAATCAATACAAAAATTATTTATGGGATATTTTACTCTCTGTTTTCCATACTAAATCTTCAACATCTAGTGTATTTTACAGTTACAGCACGTCTCTGTTTGGGCTAGACACATTTCAAGTGCTCAGTGATCGCATATAACTGGTGGCTACTATATTGGTTCTAGAAGAATCACAGTCAATGTATTAATCACAGTTCCGTTTAATACCAATTGACTGAGCGCCTACTGCATACTGGGGTTTGTGCTAGACATTGGCAATAAAGAGATTATTGATGATAATTTGAATTATTTAAGTTTTATTTTATTATTCCATAGCTCATATTTATTGTGCACTTATGTTCCAGGCATTAGGTATTTTACAAGTTTAACCATCCAAACACCCAGTAAGACAAGAATGATTATGCCCATTTTACAGCTGAAGAAACTCGGTTTAGGCAGCTTGCTGAGTTGCAGAGCTAGGAAATGGTGTTGAGATTCAAACACAGGCAGACTGTTCCAGCTGCCCTTGAGGGGCTGAGGATCTAGTAGGGGACACAGAGTATACAGGAATAAGATCAACAAGGTGTGGTAAGAGTAAGGATATCGGTGAGTACAAGGGAATACAGAGGAGGAACTACACTCAGCCTGGAGCGGTCAGGAAACACTTCATGGAGGAAATGACATCTGGGCTGAGTTTTGAAGCATAAACTAGAGTTAGCCATGGAGGGAAGGTGGGTAGAGTGTAATGGTGGTCCAGTTCTGCTTATTGTGATCATGTCACAAAGCCAGGGCCCAACCTCCTGCTGTTTTAGACCAGCACTGGATCTTCAGACTTCCTGCTCTGATCATTGGGATCCAAGCTTCCTGGATTAGTTTTCAAAAAGTCCTGTTGTCCTCTAGAAGGGTCCTTCCATGGCTTTTTATAACTAGGAAACTTGGTGGGGGGGCAATGTTGGGTTTGGGATGATCTCAATCCCTTTCCCTTCTAGAAAGTTCCTGAGTTCTTTATATGCAAATTGATACCCTGCATCAGAGCTCTACTCACTAAGAGGCTTTTGGAGAGACGGCCTTAAAAATAAAGTCCTTCCTATTACTTCCTCTCCCAGGGCATGGAGTGCCTTGGTTGTCTTAAGAAAACTACTCAAGTGATTTTTTTCCAAAATAAAAAAGACAGTTTCCTGCTGAACTTATAAATGACAGCTATGCTTGCTTAAAGAAAAAGAAAATATACAATTTATCTATAAATATGTATTTTTAAAATTACACACACAAAGGACCATATACATATATATTTTATATGTATATTGTGTGTGTATATACATATCAAGTACTTTGTATATAAAGTATACACATATACCAGTTTAATGTTATGCGAATTTCAGAGAGTAAAATGGCCCTATATTAATGTCATAGAACATAAGGTAATCCCCCAAATCTTTTAAATTACAAACCAATGTTTTTATAGTGTTTCCCAAAGTCTTATGTTCAAAAGACTAGACACCTTCAATATCTCTGTTCTGCGGGCTGAGCAAGCCCAAACCCTCCTGGGCAGCTAAAAAAGGGATTACCCACATCTTTCCCACCAGCTTCCGTTTATTTGGATCCAAGCACACAGAAATCCCCCCATTTCTGCACCATGACAACTGATACCCTTAATGATAATAAATGTGAAGGATCTTCTGAATCACTAAAGAAAGGTTAACACTAATTATAATCAGCAAGTTGACTAGGTTTTCTTTTATTTATTTATTTATTTATTTAATTTTATTTAATTTTTTTTAAAGATTTTATTTATTTGTCAGAGAGAGAGAGAGAAAGCACAAGCAGGGGGAGCGGCAGGCAAAGGGAGAAGCAGCCTTCCTGCTGAGCAAGGAACCCGATGCGGGACTCGATCCCAGGACCCTGAGATCATGACCTGAGCCGAAGGCAGTCGCTTAACCAACTGAGCCACCTAGGTGCCCCGAATGGTTTTCTTCTAGTCAAATTATTTCTGCATAACTGAGGTATTCTTAAAGTTTGAAAGGACACACAAAGTGTGGGTTCCTTTAGGGAAGAAGTAAAATGGGGGAAGGGGCTTTCACTTTTTACTCTGTATTTTTCTACTTGGATTGTTTGGGGTGTTTACAATGAGCATATATTGTTTCAGGAGTACAAGTGTTTCAATTTTAAGTGACAGGCTGCTGAGAGGCAAATAAGAGTTCTTTAACTTAAGAATAACTGATGAATTTTTCCTACAATACTTTGAACTCTCAATTACCTAAATATTCAACAAACAGAAACACCCATTTCCTTCATCATTCCGGAAGCCTACAGTTGTTCTCAGGGTTCTACTGACCAATTTAGGGTGATTTTCCTCTGTGTGGCCAGAGACCCTTCATCTATTTCTTGATTTCCTTCATTTCAAACCCAAGACTGCTATTTACCAAAGTGGAATACGGCAGCCTTGTTAGTTAACTTCTCATTACCAGGAAAGCCTGGATCCCTAGAGAAGGCTTTTGTGTGCCCTGGGGAAAGCATGCACTCATTGAACTGGGCTAATCCCTGTCATTATAGTCATGATTACAGAATCAATTTAAACGGCAGTGGTTGTGCCAATCAGCAAATACCGTAGAGTGCAGCGTAATGTTTAACACATAAACAATTTCATTGCTTTAAAAAAAAAAGTGGCTTCCTACTTTTACTTCTTTAAATTACCACATGGAGTCCATCTGCTCTTCCAAGATAGACACACTGAGTATTATACACATTATTGTGTACTTGACTTTGGGGTAAGCCCAGGAAGAAAACTCCATTATTTGGATGTGAATTTCTTAAAAAATGTCCGTGAACCAATCAAATTCTCCTAATTATCTACTATTCTGATGAAAGCCAACAGGGTACCATATTGGTTAAGAGAGCCAACTCTGGATCAGAAAGGCTGAAGTTGAATCTCAGCTCTGCGAATGACAAACTGAGGAACCTGGAGCAAGTTAAACTCTCTGAGCCTCGATTCCCTCATCTGTAAAATGGGAATAGTACAGATATTTCCTTCACTGGGTTGGTGTGAAAACAAGATGAGATATTGTCTGGTCCATAGTAAGCCCTCACTGTGTTAACAATTTCTTAAATCATAAGGAGGTACCTGCGTGGCTCAGTTGAGTGCCCAACCCTTGGTTTCAGCTCAGGTCATAATCTCAGGGTTGTGGGATCAGGTCCCAGGTCAGGCTACACTCAGCGTTGGGTCTGCTTGGGATGGTTTCACTCTGCCCCTCCCCTCTCTAAAATAAATAAATAAACAAATAAATAATAAATAAATAAATAAATAAATAAATAAATAAATATTTTTTTAAAAAGCAATAAGAATAAGAATTCAGCTCTGAGGCTGCATCCTACAATTGCTGGTAGGACATGGAGCCAATTGGCTGAAGAGCCAGTGATTCATAAAACTGGAAGTGAGGCCTCTTCCCAAGGGTTTGCAAAAGATTGAATACATAAATGATTTTATAATTATATAACTCTAGGCAGTGCTCAGCCAGTAGAGAGGTATCAGGGCTGTAGGATGGTGACTGCAGGCAGGGAGGAAGAGAGGGGCTACTAGCTGGGACTTGGAAGTCACCCCTCATAGATGTATACTTTTGAATTCCTCTTAGCTCAGTTGGTTTCCTTGCTTGTTGGCAAAACAGACAATAACATAGCAACGACTATTTTCTCTGGATGATTCCCTGGAGTGTTTCTAATGGTTTTGGAGAAAGAAACTTTCAATATATTACAGTTCCTGGAAAGATGCTGGAGAAAAAACACAACGGACAGCCCTTCAGTAATGCTGGCAAGAGTGAACCTCCAAGTCAGTGTGAGATACCTCAGAAGGTTCTTATCTCATCCCTGACATGACCTGATGCACTAATGATTATATTAAAGGATTTTATACTTGAGAAAAGTGGATTTCAAAATGAAGGAAAGAGATGTTTGCAAATTCTCTTTCAAATACCTAATGGAATATTCAGAGTTTCCAACTCTCTCATAAATTCAATTTTCTCTCTGTAAGTAAGCTTTGTGATTTCTTTTCAGATCTTTGGCAAAATGAAACAAAAGTTAGTTTCTCATTCGGGTGGTTATGAGTGTTCCTTATTGTTTGGGGGAACTAATTATAAAAACCTGTAGATATCACATATTTCCTGGTATTGTGGAGGTGTCCCAGATATTCATCTGTAGTATGACAGCATGTCTCTTAGGAGTTGCTTGGGGCTTTCAGGGAGGAGTAAAATGTGTTCTAGAGAAACATTTTTAAACAGTGTGTTCATCACGTTAGTGTATGGTAAATTCAGTTCAGTGGGCTGTGAAAAGCATTACAAAAAGTCTGACCCAATAGAAAATACCAGATATTCCTTTATCATTAAGGACCTGCTTTATCTCTGAAAATGTTTTTTTCTCTCAAAGTCTATTTTATCTGA